GAGCCGGTGCCAGGGGTCAGCTCCAGGCAGACGGCCAGGCCCGCCGTCCCCGGGGCTCCGCGGGGCTGCGGGCGCCGAGAGGGGGCCAGGGACTCAAAGGGGTCTTCCCTCCGCCCCCGGGGGGCCGGGCCTGCACACTTGGGCTCCCTGGGAGGGAGCAGCGTCCCCTCCCCGCTGGTCCTCCCGGGTTCTGCCCTTTTTGCGCCGCCCTCTTTCCCGCTGCGGGCTTGGGTCGGCTGCAACCGCGGGCGGGGACACCTTTCTGATCGCCTCCCTGCATGGCTGTGTCCCCTCGGCTCATTCCCCTTAACCCAGAACAGTCCCCGTGTGGACGAGGAGTTCGGGCGGCCCCGGGCAGGGGTGCGAGAAAGCCACCCCTGTCCAGCAGCGCCCTTCCCGAGCCCGCTCTGCGGAAACTGCTGCAGACACTTTGACCTTTCCGGACCTCAGTGTGCCCCTCCGCGAAATGGGGGTAGCGTCGCACAGTCCGCAGGATGCAATGAGCCAGTGTGTGGAAAACGCCGGGCTCTCACCTTCCTGTTCCTGCACAGTTGGGATTGCAGGGCCCGGGAGGGCGCGACCGGGTTGCTAGGAAGCGAATTTGCCCTTCCCGTCCTTGTGGTCTTTTAGAGGCGGTGGAGGGAGCCGGACACCGGATGAGGCCGCATATTTGCCAAAGTATTTCTGGAAAATTTCTCATTTCCCGTCGCCACACTGGCCCCTGAACTCCACAGCCTTTAATTGCATACTCTCTGTTCCCGTTCAGAGTTGCCGTTTGGCATTATTTACTGGAATGGGTTATACACAGTGTTTACACTGTATATGTTTCTATAACTACATCTTGATCGTTTCCTCCAATTACAGAAATAGTCGTGCCCATTATAAGAGTCCCATCTTAGAGGGGCTTGTCATGAAGGGCGTGGAACCCGCAGCGACAGCTTCAATTAACACCCAGGGCTCGCGGCGTTTTTACTGCAGCTGCTGGCGGAAGTTCCCGTGCCCACGCGGGCGGGGAACTCGCAGGGCGGGTCCAGCGTGGCGGTTGTTTGTGCGAAGCTCAGTCGCCGTGCAGGAGCCCCTGCAGGATCCGGCAGGAGCCGGGGTGGGTCCCGCCCTGGGGGGCGGGGTTAGTCAGGGAGCGAGACCCAGAGGGAGCGCGTTTCCCCTACTTACCTCCAGGTGGCGCTACAGGATCGCGGATGCGCTCCCGGGGCGGGGCTCCCCTCGGCCAGGGCGCCAGCGAGGGGCGGGGCCGGGGCGGGACGGGGACTGGCGGCTGCAGTTAGCATGGGGTCCAGGGAAACAAGTTTTCCGGGGACTGAGGTACATGGACGCAGAAAGTATAGGCGTCACAGGAAGAAGGGGAGAAACGAAGGTGGGAGGAGGCCTGGGACGGGGCGAGAAAAGGGGAGTCACGTGGCCCAGAAAGTCGTTCCATCCTTCTCCTTTGCCCCTGGGTCCCTCCCGCCCTTCTCTCCACCAGACCTGCAATCAATTCTTCACACCCCCTGGAGTGCACAGGGTGCTCTGGACACATACGCTCGCCCCCAGCATCCGGGCCCAGCCAGGGCAAGCTTGCAGGGCTCCAGTGCCCAGGGTGCCTGCCAGTTTAAGAATTCCACAGTCCCGGACATGCCAAGAACAACAGGCACGCTGTTCCTCAATTTGTCCCCAGGAAGCCCTACGCCCTTCCCTTTTGGAGGCTGGTCCTAGAAAAGTGACTCACAGAATCCCCAGCGGGCCCACCACGTGTGTGCCATCTTTGGTCTCCTTTTCCCAGATGTGTGCCATTTCTCCCATTACTATTTACCGTGTCACCCAATCATACCACCACCTATGGGGCCTCGTGGTATTCCTGCCACACCCCCTCGCTATGTTAAAGTGTCCCCTTTCCCTTGACCTACCTCTCCCCAGTCACAATCACTGGGATATGCCCTGGTAATGGGCATCCTAAAGACGAGGCAAAGAAAGTGCAGGAACCCCTAACGGACCACACACACACAGAGCTGTCCCACTAACTAGATCTGTTTGCTTTCAAATTCAGAGGTTTTTCAACTCTATTAGGCTACACACACTCATGGCAATTCACACACAGACACACACACACACACACACACACACACACACGCACACACGCACACACGCGCGCGCGCGCACGCGCGCGCATCCTAAAGACGAAGCAAAGAAAGTGCAGGAACCCTTAACGGAACACACACACACACACACATGCACACACACACACACACACACACACGCACACACACACGCACACACGCGCGCACACAAGCACACACGCACACACATGCACACACGCACACACACACACACATGCACACACACACACACGCGCGTGCACACACGCACGCTTCCCCCGCCAAGAGAGGAGACCACTGGCAGGAGACAAGAGCAGGTTTATTAGGGCTCTGGGCTCCGGGATGCCTAAGGTCTGATTTTAACTCGGCTGGTTCTCGAGGCCCAAGGAGCAGGCCAGGGCAGTGAGAAGTGGTGACTCAATGCTAAAGCCAATTTTTTTCTCATTTCAGAGTCTCTGCCCAGAGACCTTGGGAGTTGGTTCTGGGAGGGCCTGGGCATACAGAGGGGCCTCTCCTGTCCCCTGGGGTCTCGGAGTTCTTGCCAGGATTGGGGAAATTATCTGGGGGCAGGGAGCCTCGAATGCACAGCCTTCATTTCAGTAATGACCATTTAATTTGTTCCTTGGCAGACTGAAGAACCTGGGGTGGGGAGGAAGGTTGAGAGGAAGAATTCAGGGGAATGTCAACGCCTGGGGAGGGCGGGGGGCTCCAGCCCACCTCCCCTGTGTCCCTGCAACTCCTGGTCACTAGGTGGCAGCAGCTCATCTCTGCCTGACTTAAGCAGGGGCTAGGGCGCCAGAGGAAAGAGCAGTCCAAACTGGCTGCAGGCAGCTCCCAGCCCAGGCCCAGGCCTGCCCAGCCCTCTGGTGTCTGCATCTGCAGTGGTGGGTGTGGCAACAGGCTCTGCCATTCCCATACCGTGTCGTGCTAGCTCCTGCCCACAGTGCCACGTCCAGGCAGAAACTGGGCCCGGCCTGACGCTGCCTAAGCTCAGACACCTCAGCAAAACTCTAGGTCTGCCCTTGGCTGGCAGTGTGTCTGTCCTCCACCCCCACCCCCACCCTCTGCTGATGTGGCACAGCTGGCCAGCAGTGGCTGGCCAGACACAGCCACGGGACACCTGCACCCGGATCGTGCGCGCTCACCTGCAGCTGAGGAAACAACCGCAGGCCAGTGCATACGCAAACCCGTACCAAGGCGCACACACAGCCCCAACACGGTGGTGACCCCACGTATGCCTCTGCGATCGTCCCTCCTGCCACCCAGCCTCATCCCCTTCTGAAGGCTCGTCCCATAATGTGTGTCCCTTCTTCCTGCAGTCTCCCTTCCTCTCTCAGGGACAGCATGGCCGGGCGGGGGG